TATCATTGAAATCGGCCCAGTTGTTTATGAGGCAAACAAAGTTTTTTTCAGTAAAGGGCCATTACTCCGTAAAAAGGGTAGGATTAAAAAATAATACATTGATGCACAACAGCAGGTGGTAGTTATCATATTTGAAAAGTGTCGTTGAAATTGCCCCCTTAGTTTTGGAAGACATGTCCGGACAATGATTTTTCAACAAAGGGCCATCGATTTGTAAAATAAGGGTCAGAATGAAAAAGTAATACCTTGATGCACAATTTCAGGTGGTATTTATCATATTTGGGAACTTTTGTTGAAATTGGTCTATTACTTTGGAAGGAGTTGTTCGGACAAACTTTTTCTACGTACGGACGGACGGACGGACAAGCTGATTCCAGTATACCCCTCTAAATTTGCTGCAGGGTATAATGAAATGTATGATAGTTTTACTTTTACGATTATTTAATTATTTTTATGTAATTGCATATCTTTGTCTATAACACAATCTCAACCTTAAGTAGTTCTCCAGAGGAAAGATTACTCTGTCAGAATACAAATCCATGAGTTATTATTGCTGCTCATAGCATTAAAACATGCGTTATATAATAGAGTGTTTTGGTATGATACAAAAACAGAAAATGTATCAGTATTAACCATAATAAACATAGATAATCAAATCTTCATGATTATGTGAAATTAGCCTTTGATCATGGTTGGCATGCTAAAATAGTTTTGATATTACATAAAAATGATTCTGTGGACAGAGTATGTATATGGAAAGTTTTTTTAAAGAAGTTTAAAATGTAGACTACTATTGTAACTATATATAGGCAAATTGACAATGTTAGTTTTATTTTTGTAAAAATTTTGTATGCTTTTCTAATTAAAAGTATAACTACGCTTAATTCATGTATACCAATATGATACATTTAGTACCAAAATAACAGTTATTTGAAACACTGTACACTATCATAATTCATTTTCAAAAAACATTCGCCTGTGCCATTTATCTGTCACTTTGTTAGGATACCCCCGTCACTCAACCTGGTGTTATGCAATGAGGTCCACTACGGTTATCAGTAGTAATTATGAATAATCATGTATACAGTTATTGATCATTTTTACGTATCTACATATGGCAAAAGAATAAAAGAAATCAAAGTGAGGGCCAAATTTTGACCCCACCTTTCGACGTGTTCATATGTTTAGGACAACTGTCTTCGACATCTACAATAATTCACATTATGCGATAGTTTTGTTCTTGTGTGCCGATTTTGAATTTCGATTTGCTTCGAATGAATTTGTGTTATTACCAATTCACTGTACTGACATCAGCAATTCAACTTAAATATATAACCGATTCTGATAAAACCACAAAATCATTAATCATAGTGATATTTGCTCACAGATATAAAAAAAAAAAAAGTATAACGGTGTCATGGGTGGTGTTGCAAAGTTTTACTTTTTATTTCATTAAATTGGAGACGTCATTATAAAGCGTCGCCCTTTGTTAGTGGCATCACTATAGCGATTTACAACTGTAGTAAATTTCAGCGGTATTAGTATTTCCATTGACGATATCACCAATTCATTATAGTGATACACTAAAATAGAATAAAAACTTAGAGTAGATGTAATGCCAGGAAACCCTGGAGATAGAATAGACAGCGTTAAAATGTCCAATAATGTTTGTTCAACCGGATACAATTCTAAAATTACTATCTATTATAATACAACAAACACAAGTAATATACAATGCCGTATTTTTCAAGGTAAGCTAACTGATATGACAATCTTGGTTCGGACATAACATGAATTACGACAGAAATCATGAAACAAAGACAGGTATTTTACAGGAGTACTGTACATGTTTCTTATTTTTGTCTAATCTGTCATTATTACAATGTTATCATGGACGGGCAGACTACAGAGGGGAAGACATACAGACCAAGGACAAAGGAACGAGGTTCTGAACCACAGAGGGACAGATCTACAGACCGAGGACAAAGGAACGAGGTTCTGAACCACAGAGGAACAGATTTCCAGAATGAGGACAAAGGAATGAGGTTCTGAATCACAGAGGGACAGATCTACAGACCAAGGACAAAGGAACGAGGTTCTGAACCACAGAGGGACAGATCTACAGACCGAGGACAAAGGAACGAGGTTCTGAACCACAGAGGGACAGATTTCCAGAATGAGGACCAAGGAACGAGGTTCTGAATCACAGAGGGACAGATCTACAGACCGCGGACAACGGAACGAGGTTCCGAACCACAGAGGGACAGATTTCCAGAATGAGGACAAAGGAACGAGGTTCTGAATCACAGAGGGACATATCTACAGACCGAGGACGAAGGAACGAGGTTCTGAACCACAGAGGGACAGATCTACAGACTAAGGACAAAGAAACGAGGTTCTGAACCACAAAGGGACAGATCTACAGACTAAGGACAAAGGAACGAGGTTCCGAACCACAGAGGGACAGATCTACAGAATGAGGACAAATGACGAGGTTCTGAACCACAGAGGGACAGATCTACAGAATGAGGACAAATGACGAGGTTCTGAACCACAGAGGGACAGATCTACAGATTAAGGACAAAGGAACGAGGTTCCGAACCACAGAGGGACAGATCTACAGACTAAGGACAAAGAAACGAGGTTCTGAACCACAAAGGGACAGATCTACAGACAAAGGACAAAGGAACGAGGTTCCGGACCACAGAGGGACAGATCTACGGCATGAGGCCAAATGACGAGGTTCTGAACCACAGGGGGACAGATCTACAGACTAAGGACAAAGGACCGAGGTTCCGAACCACAGAGGGACAGATTTACAGACCAAGGACAAAGTAACGAGGTTCTGAACCACAGAGGAACAGATTTACAGAATGAGGACAAATGACGAGGTTCTGAACCACAGAGCGACAGATCTACAGACTAAGGACAAAGGATCGAGGTTCCGAACCACAGAGGGACAGATCTGTAGACTAAGGACAAAGGAACGAGGTTCTGAAACAAAGAGGGACAGAACCTCGTTCCTTTGTCCTTGGTCTATAGATATGTCCCTCTGTGGTTCAAAACCTCGTTCATTTGTCCTTAGTCTACAGATTTGTCCATCTGTGGTTCAGAACCTCGTTCCTTGGTCCTCATTCTGTAGATCTGTCACTCTGTGGTTCAAAACCTCGTTCCTTTGTCCTTAGTCTGCAGATCTGTCCCTCTGTGGTTCAGAACCACAGAGGGACAGATCTGTAGACTAAGGACAAAGGAACGAGGTTTTGAACCACAGAGGGACATATCTATAGACCGAGGACAAAGGAACGAGGTTCTGAAACAAAGAGGGACAGAGGGACATAACTACAGACTTAGGACAAAGGAACGTTATTCTGAACCACAGAAGGACATATGTACAGACTTAGGACAAAGTAACGAGATTCTGAACCACAGAGGGACAGATCTACAGATTAAGGACAAAGGAACGAGATTCTGAACCACAGAGGGACAGATCTACAGACCAAGGACAAAGGAACGAGGTTCCGAACCACAGAGGGACAGTTCTACAGACCAAGGACAAAGGAACGAGGTTCTGAACCACAGAGAGACAGATCTACAGACCAAGGACAAAGGAACGAGGTTCTGAACCACAGAGGGACAGATCTGTAGACTAAGGACAAAGGAACGAGGTTCCGAACCACAGAGGGACAGTTCTACAGACCAAGGACAAAGGAACGAGGTTCTGAACCACAGAGGGACAGATCTACAGACCAAGGACAAAGGAACGAGGGTCTGAACCACAGAGGGACAGATCTAAAGAATGAGGACAAAGGAACGAGGTTCTGAACCACACAGAGACAGATCTACCGACCAAGGACAAAGGAACGAGGTTGTGAACCACAGAGGGACAGATCTACAGAATGAGGACAAATGACGAGGTTCTGAACCACAGAGGGACAGATCTACAGACCGAGGACAAAGTAACGAGGTTCTGAACCACAGAGGGACAGATCTACAGAGAAAAGACAATCCTAGCTGTAGAACTACTGAGGGGAACGATATTCTGTTATAATCGTTTAGACCTTGCTGTAAAACTACTGAGGGGAACGATATTATGTTATAATCGTTTAGACCTAGCTGTAAAACTACTGACGGGAACGCGATTATGTTATAATCGTTTAGACCTTGCTGTAAAACTACTGTGGGGAACGATATTCTGTTATAATCGTTGAGACCATGCTGTAAAACTACTGAGGGGAACGATATTCTGTTATAATCGTTTAGACCTAGCTGTAAAACTACTGACGGGAACGAGATTATGTTATAATCGTTTAGACCTTGCTGTAAAACTACTGAGGGGAACGATATTATGTTATAATCGTTTAGACCTAGCTGTAAAACTACTGACGGGAACGAAATTCTGTTATAATCTATTAGACCTAGCTGTAAAACTACTGGGGGGAACGATATTCTGTTATAATCGTTTAGACCTTGCTGTAAAACTACTGACGGGAACGAAATTCTGTTATAATCTTTTAGACCTAGCTGTAAAACTACTGAGGGGAACGATATTCTGTTATAATCATTGAGACCTTGCTGTAAAACTACTGAGGGGAACGATATTCTGTTATAATCGTTGAGACCTTGCTGTAAAATTACTGAGGGGACCGATATTCTGTTATAATCGTTTAGACCTTGCTGTAAAACTACTGAAGGGAACGATATTCTGTTATAATAGTTTAGACCTAGCTGTAAAACTACTGAGGGGAACGATATTCTGTTATAATCGTTGAGACCTTGCTGTAAAACTACTGACGGGAACGAGATTCTGTTATAATCGTTGAGACCTTGCTGTAAAACTACTGAGGGGAACGATATTCTGTTATAATCGTTTAGACCTTGCTGTAAAACTACTGAGGGACAGATCTACAGAGAAAGTACAGAGGGACAGATTTTACAAGACAGGACAAAGGAACAAGTACATTTGACATACAGGTATGTACGTATCATTGTCAATGTTGAAATGTTTTAAATGAATCTTTATTCTCATCTAAAGTAATACATTCTTGGTTGGATCCGAGGACGAGTGATCAAAGATTCTATGATAATGATGGGGGCAATGTGATCAGGAAAACACACAGATCACAGACGCTTGGTCTCTTGTACCATAATTCTATGTTAATTCGGGATCGGCATCCACGATTGTCTTTTCGAAACCACTTCCTTGCAGACAAACGTTCATTTGGCAGTACCTTCTTTACATCACGCATAACAGTACGTCTACCTGACAATTATGTGTACGCGGAAGCACTGTCTACAAGGCAACGATGTCTTTTATGTGCTGACTTTGTAACTGAACTTTCATCTCGATTACACAATACATAATCAATGCTAGCACGAGCACCACGCCCAGCACATACACCTTGGTCTGAACGCACAGGAAGTGACTGTAACCAAAGGAAATGGCACATCCGGTAGCATAGAACATCCGGTACGAGGAAAAGGCTGCCTCTTGTCTGTCGAGGAAAAGTACGCCGTATAGAGCTGAAATGATGAAATAAAAACACTATGAATGCTGCAATTATTATTTAGCTACCGGTTGTTGCGTTTTAGAGTACAGAGTATATAGAAATACCAGCAGAATTGATTATATGACGTCATCAATGACGCAAACGGTTAATGTGTAACATATAGTCTCTTATTTGAAATCGATCGGACAATGAAAGAGTACAAAATACCAAACTTATCCGACATCTGCAGGAGATGTGGATGAATTCTGGGGAGCTTAATGTAGTTTCAATAGGGTTTCCGATGGCGTGCAGTCATCTAGCCCAATGTGTTTGTATTGTTTTTACATCAAGTAATGGATGTTAATTTGGTGCCATCACTTTATTTTGTTATGTTTATAACCAAATAACAGCGCAATTTAGTCAATTTTTCTTAAACAATGCAAGAGTTGCGTCTCTTTCATGAAACATCAATGTCAACCTGGTAGCCTTTTCCGTGAAAAAACCCATGCAAGAGTTATGTCCCTTCCCCTTTACCAGCAATAACATGATACGCACTCATGGCTTCTGCATGAACAAGCAATTGGTGTGGCCATCCTACATTATACAATTATGGACTTCAGGTGAGGTCTATCCCTGATTTACGAACCTGGTCTGAACAATATTCACAGAGGCCGAAGGCCGAGGTGAATATTGTTCAGACCAGGTCCGTAAATCAGGGATAGACCGAAATATTATGGCATGGTAATACTATACACATAAGGCAGGCGTTAGACATCTAGTGTGACATGTATCTAGCATGGCAGCCAATCGCTGGATAATGTTAAATGTGTAAATATCACAATGATTAAAAGTGAAATAACACTCCCTTGAGGTTCTCTCCAACAGCTAGGTAGCAATTGTGTGAGATTAATGTCAGAAAATGATCAACGACACCCGAGTGTATTCGCTCCTCATATTTTATTAACGTGAAATATAAATTGAATAACCCTTTGTAATGGTCTCTGTAGAAAATTTCAGCTGGTTTTTCAGAAATTAATTGATTCTTCGCGAGTGTTCTATTTCGAATAAATCATTTTATAATATAACTGAAATGGAAATGCTATCCGCAACAGTGCCGACATTTTACCCTAAATCCTGAACGTGAACGACTGTCAGGTGTAATGCATTATACAATAACACACTGGCCGACGTGCTATATGGATGTTAGTGCTATGCGGATGTTGGTGATATGGTCAATAACATTACTTATTTTTTGTCGTCCTTCTGATTTACATAGACTTAAAACATATTGCCTAAAAAATTTCCACGAAACAGTTATGACTTTGCTAACAAGATATTGCTTTGGTATGTTAAGATTAGAAAATAGGCAATATTTGTGTACATATCAGTAAAATGATAGTTATCAAACGTTTCAACATATTTGCCCAAATTGATATTGGAAGTCAAGATAATTCATGAAGCAATTAATCTGTTAGCCCTTAAGTTCATCCCGGCATGCTGCTGGCCAAATATCATGATAGATCTTCTGATTTTTGAGAAAAAGTTGTTAAACGATTAAATATATCTGATCCCATTAGAAAAAATCTGAAAGTCTTTCATCCCAGAATTCTACTGGCCACATCTATCGTCATCTTGTGTCTCGTTGCTTTAAAGCAAAAAGTTGACGCCGGACGGACGGACGTACGACGGACGCAGCACCACGGCATACGTAATTAATCTTGCCCGAACTGATCAGCTAAATACTATTATTATAGACGCTATAGAATATAAAAAGACGCCAAGGTGGACTGGGAGAAGATTAAATTAGACAAATGAGAAAAGAAAACCATCACATATAATAGTAATGTACGTACTGTAGGTCTGAGTCTGCCATATGGCGTCGCACAGACCCAAACATCCGGCCACCACAAAGAAGTTTGGGATGTCGTTCGGGCTTGGTTTCCACAGCCACAATACTATCAGCAGCCCTACATTAAATGTGGCCCCGGCAGAGATGAATGCGAACCGCTTGATATGCTTGCTGGCGAAGTAACCAATCATAACACAGCTTACAGCGCTCACGGCTCCGAAACATATCATCACCGGCCCGATACTAGTGACACCTAGCGTACAGGAAATGTAGGCCTGCAAAATAAAATAAGAAGGTTTCAAAGTCAAGTTATTACTAGTTCATGAACAAAATACATTTCCAACAAAACCTGTATGCACAGTAAGAGTCCGACATCATTGGAAAAATACTTCTAAATCTACATTGTCCATATTTGCAGGTACTGGTCGGGAATGACCACATTTCGCTAATTTGCGGGATCGAAAAAATTTATGATATAGAATCATTGGGAATGGTATTTTCACCATTGGTTGGGTGCATTTTTACCGTTTTATAGCATCAACGGAGATGACATGTTTACCGAGATTTGAACTAAACCCCTAAAAGATTGAACTTACTCTGAACACCTCAGTTTAGATCCAAACTTAGATATATTTGTATACTGTTATTATTCCCATGTCCTTATTGTAATGCTAACTGTGTTATGCGGCCCAATCACGAAAAAAAATCGATAAAAGGTACCGCCTTGGGCCCCACATTAGTCGCCTCTTACGATCATGCAGTGGGATACAGCAAGCTTATTCTTTCCCCGAACCTGGAGGAGTTTGGGGGTTCAAGGTCAGATGTCTTATTACACATGTAATAATAAGCCTTGGCGCATATACATTTTTCATCCCAAATTTGATCAGTTGAAGAATATAGAAACATCACGATACCAAGAAAAATATGTAGACCGCTCCTACCCTCTTTTAAATTTCTAAATCTCTCCCGATGGTAACTGCAATTGCGGGATGATATTCAAATCAAATCTGTGGCAAAATATAAACCTTCTTTATTATCCTCGTTTATCGGCGTTTTATAAACACAGCATGATTTGTGCATCATACACACACGAAAAAATCCTTTGAAGAAAACAACAAATTGAGAGAGAGTCGCGGTGGGGTAGGATTTATGGATTGACTACTGATGTACCAGCAGTGCGCTCACCTTTGATCTACAATTACATACAACAGACATCGTAAATACACCAAACAAACCTTGTAAATGTAAATAGAACGCGCTTGGTATGTGACGTCTATCATACTAATCTAATATATATATATATGTATGGATGTGACTGGATCTGATTCCTCGCTTTAAAGCGGTGGTGGTGTTACCGACGTGGAGGAGGAATCGTGCCCTGTTGTATGATGGGTTTTCATTGTTGGTCATGTTTCCAATACTTATTGATTTTTTTTTGTTTCAAATATTAAGATGTTGTGTCAACACATAATTGACAAAATAACGAAATTATCGCTTAAAGTTGTGTGAAAATAGCATTGCAACCGTCTTTATATTCAATCGACTAATAACATTGCTTTGTTTGGGAAAAATACATGAAGAAATGAAAGTAAATGATAATAAATAGTTGTAACGCATACGATTTAGTCACCACGTCCGGAACGCTACCGGTACAAAAGGCAAGACATATCCGTAGAAAAAACTGTTTATGAAATAACCATTGTGTCCAACAATATACGCGTATCAATTACCGATATAAATTGTAATCAAGTGGCAATTTCAGTGTCCGCTGGTGGTTTAACTAAGGAATCGGGGTCTGAGATAGCAGCTCTAGACTTATACATAATGTGCTGGCGCAGTCAAGCTTGATGGAGAAGTGTTTCGTTTGGTGCAGGCTAGCCTGATTGACAATGGTATATTTTGGCGCGGGCTAGCTTAATGGAAAAGGGTTTAACTTGGCATGGGCTAGCCAGGTGGACAGGGGTTTCGTTTGGCGCGTGCTAACCTGGTTGACATGGGTTGTGTTCGGCACGGGCTAGCCTGATGACCAACTTCTCATGGGTTTTGTTTAGTGTTGCCTAGCCAAATGAACAAGACTTTCGCTCGGTGCGAGCTAGTCTGATGGACAAAGCTTCGGTTGGGTCTTTTGTGTTTGATTACATTAAGCTACATTAAGTACGACAGGTTCCAAATTGTTTATCGACTGTAAACGCAAAGTTGATTAATTGGTCTCGGCCGGAAGCCAATGGACGTTTCCGGAAGTTAATTGACGCAGCCGGAAGTCAATGTAGCAGCCAATGTTGTTTTCCCGCCGAAATCGGAGACGATCTTGTCGGCAACATATAATTGGACACAATATTAGTCTGTCACGCTCTGCCTTCAGTTGGAGCCTACACTCATCTTCATACAATTACAACGTACAATTGGCATACCTTTGAAGATTAATTTGATTTTGGACAAAACGGTAACACGGTGCGCTGCCCTCTATCTAGAAGCAGGGATTTACCTCCAGCCGGACTGAGTATACAAACGTCCATATCCACTCAGAGGGACAACAAGTGTTGCTCTTAACTCATGGTGGGAAAAGGAGTGTATGCAACCCTCAGCTACGAGGGTCAATATGTCAATCGCCACCCGGAAGGTCTATAAGTTGTATATCTTCCATCCGGACAGACCGTAGATATTCCTCGGATCCATGGGGTGAAAGGGCGGTATCCGGTCCTCTCCATCAAGAAAGATTATCCAAAAACACGGTGACACAGAATACGAAATTAACACGAACCACATTTTGTTCATTTCAGAAAAAACGCTGTAGACAAGCATGTTACACGAATAGTTCGTCTCCAAGAGTACAAAGTTACCTATGTAATTGAATACTACTGTAACTATATGGGATAATTCTATTATATTCAAAGATATAATTAATTCAAACATGAATATATATCTATTTCACATAAAGATTTTGATATTTTTTGCGAACCATTTATGGCGTTTGAATGTTACCCAGCTGGCTTGCCATATTATTATGCCTGCAGACAATATAGATGTACAAATGAAGAAAAGCAACGAAACATACTTTCTCGATGCAATCGATAGTGTTTACGATTGCGTGAGAAGAAATACAATTGGATGAATGTAATGTATTGCCCAGTAGACCGATGGCTGAAGGAAAAAGGTCAACAATCGACTGAGTTGTAGCAACGTCGAAAATCTTGTAACCATTAGCAGCGAATTGGTTAGTATAGAATGATATATTATTTCCATCTTAAATCAAGCTCTTTTTATGGAATTGTGATAGAACTTAATGAAACCGTAATTTGAAACAAATGTAGACAAGGAATTGGCCATGAGATTATTGGTTTTGTGTTCAACACAGCTCACAAATCTTCAGTCTGTACCGGCACACATATCGATGGGAGTTTAGTGTATGTACAGGTCTTGTTTTCCTACTCTGAATTTGTCGTTTATTTCTATCGGTTCTAGAAGTGCCCAGCGTTCTCTTGACCTCTGTTTGACTACCGTCCGCACTGGGGAGTGTTCAATGGCCAGCGTCCGTCTCTCAAACTGCATTGTAAGCTGTAGCACTGTATTGTAGCTATAGGCTGTGCTATGTATCACTGTATTGTAGGCTGTGCTATGTATCACTGTATTGTAGCTAGAGACTGTGCTATGTATCAGTGTATTGTAGCTATAGGCTGTGTTCTGTATCACTGAATTGTAGCTATAGGCTGTGCTCTGTATCATTGTATTGTAGCTATAGGCTGTGTTCTGTATCACTGAATTGTAGCTATAGGCTGTGCTCTGTATCATTGTATTGTAGCTAGAGACTGTGCTATGTATCACTGAATTGTAGCTATAGGCTGTGCTATGTATCATTGTATTGTAGCTATAGGCTGTGCTCTGTATCACTGTATTGTAGCTATAGGCTGTGCTCTGTATTACTGTATTGTAGCTATAGGCTGTGCTCTGTATCACTAAATTGTAGCTATAGGCTGTGCTCTGTATTACTGTATCGTAGCTATAGGCTGTGCTCTGTATCACTGTACTGCAGCTATACGCTGTGCTCTGTATCACTGTATTGTAGCTATACGCTGTGCTCTGTATCACTGTATTGTAGCTATAGTCTGTGCTCTGTATCACTGTATCGTAGCTATAGGCTGTGCTCTGTATCACTGTATTGAGCTATAGGCTGTGCTCTGTATCACTGTATTGTAGCTATATACTGTGCTCTGTATCACTGTATTGTAGCTATAGGCTGTGCTCTGTATCACTGTATTGTAGCTATACGCTGTGCTCTGTATCACTGTATTGTAGCTGTAGTCTGTGCTCTGTATCACTGTATTGTAGCTATAGGCTGTGCTCTGTATCACTGTATTGTAGCTATATGCTGTGCTCTGTATCACTGTATTGTAGCTATAGACTGTGCTCTGTATCACTGTATTGTAAGCTGTGCTCTGTATCACTGTATTGTAGCTGTAGTCTGTGCTCTGTATCACTGTATTGTAGCTATATGCTGTGCTCTGTATCACTGTATTGTAGCTATAGACTGTGCTCTGTATCACTGTATTGTAGCTATAGGCTGTGCTCTGTATCACTGTACTGCAGCTATACGCTGTGCTCTGTATCACTGTATTGTAGCTTTAGACAGTGATCTGTATCACTGTATTGTAGCTATAGACTTTGCTCTGTATCACTGTATTGTAAGCTGTGATCTGTATCACTGTATTGTAGCTATAGACTGTGCTCTGTTTCACTGTATTGTAGCTATAGACAGTGCTCTGTATCACTGTATTGTAGGCTGTGCTCTGTATTACTGTATTGTAGCTGTAGGCTGTGCTCTTTGTCATTGTAATGTGAGGTGTGCAAAGTATCACTGTTTTGGTTAGTATCGATATCACTGTATTATAAGCTTTGCTCAGTATCACAATGTAAGCTTTGCTAAGTATTATTATATTGTCAGCTTAAGTATCATTGTATTGTCAGCTGTGCTCTGTATATATAGTAACCTGTACTAAGCATTACTGTATTGTAACCTGTTCTAATCATCACTGTATTTTAACCTGTCCTAAGCATTACTGTATTGTAACCTGTACTAAGCATTACTGTATTGTAACCTGTCCTACGCATTACTGGATTGTAACCTGTCCTACGTATTACTGTATTGTAACCCGTGCTACGTACTACTGTTTTTTAACTTGTACCAAGCATTACTGTATTGTAACCTGTACTAAGTATTACTGTATTGTAACCCGTGCTACGTACTACTGTATTGTAACCTGTACTAAGCATTACTGTA